TAAAAAAAAAACTGTACCTGCAGGCAATATATTTTAATTAAATAAAAGGCCACTAAAGTTTACTTTAAGAGAGTTGACTTTCATGACTGTTTCTTTAGTACACTAAATGTACTTTGTAATAATGTCAAAAGATTTAAGTAAATTTCCTTATGATTTAATAACCTTCTCATGTTTTAAAGAAGTACACTTACTTTGAAGTGTTGACTAACATTATAAAGCGCATATAAAGTACTTGATTATACTTTTAGTTGTAGTGTGATAATCAATATTACATAGCTTATGTACCAACTTGCAACTTTATCATTCCAAATGAGTAATTACAAATACATTTAAATACATTACATGACAAGTTATAAATTTAATATATATATAAATACATGTTAAGAAATTACATTTAAATTTAGTCTATATAAATGTTTGTCAGTACATTCAGCAGGACATTTAAATCATATTTCAAAGACAATGGAAGTAAATATCAAATTACATATACATATATATGCCTACATATACATATATATATCTGCATTTAAAATGAATGTAAACTATGATATATTTTCATTTAAATTCAGAAAACATGCAATTAAGTGTCCAATTGCTCTTTCTGTGTTTCCTGAAACCTTTAATCTCTAATTGTTCCATTTGATGCTTCATATTTTTACCCCAGAGGAAAATGTTATTGCTCAAATGTTAAACTGTCTGTCTCTGCTAAAATTCCTTAAACAAAATGAAATGAGGCATATGTCAGTATAGCGCTGCATAATGCATACATAAACTATTAAATAAAAAATTGATAGTATAAATCATAGTTGAATCATTTGGTTTTGGAAGGCTCTGATATGAAATGTTTGAGTTCATATTGAGATCTCTTAACTTTTGATTGCAGACTTTGGTATCTTGGCAAATCTGAACACAATTTGTTGAGATCGCTTCTGAAACTCTAGACATTACTGGGGTCATTTCAGAGGAAGAGAAACAGGTGTTAGAATATTAGAAGTGGGATAAAACAAAACAGGTATCCAGTCAAAACTAAGCAGGGAAATAATTGAACATTATTTCATAGGTTCACTCTGAATTTTTTTTTTTTTTTAAGTTTTTTTAAGCTTTAACATAAATGATGGAAACCTTTCATTGCACAAAAGGTTCTATAGAAGAAAAAGGTTCTTTAGATTATTAACATGTTCTTCACACTATGAAAAAAAATAATCTTTTAAGAACTGTTCACAAAAGGGCCCACAAAAATGGTTATGCTAAAAACACCCTTTTGGGACCTTTATTTTTTAGACTGTATATTACCTTAAGTTTGATTAAAAGAAAATAAGTATTAAAGCTTTGCTCATAATATCTGTTTATCTGATCACTTATAGATCTCCTGGATATCAAATTGCCCATGCTTGCTTCTTATTTATGAGCAAGCTTGTAATTCCTTGACCTGCAGACATCCCATTTACTCAGACTGATCTAAATGCAAATATTTACTTCCCCACCCTTGCGTACATGTATGCACATAGACACAAATGTGCAAAAACGTCCACACATTATTTCCAGACTTAAACATTCACTCACTCCCTTTTTTTGCTACAGCTAGCTGCTATATTTGGTGTGTTGTCGCACCTGCAAGAGCGAGAGCATTCAGAGATCAGCTTCAGCATGACATCACAGGAAGTGGGAGGAAGGGAGAAGGTCACAAGGTCATTTGGGATAACAAACATGTCACTATAGCACGTATTCGACAGCAGATCCGTAACGCAGCATAACGACTCGTCTCTCCCACAGGCCCGCAGCGGGAAACACTTAATTTCATCTTCTTCTATAGTCTAGAAAAGACACATCTGTGTTCTCAGTGCCGGTGTCTGTTCAAATGTTTTGTATTAAATGTATTCAAATAGAGCAGTCGGAGAGCCCAGACCATTAAACCAGTGCATGAATGTTCTGGAAAGTCTCCAGTGTGGATTTTATAAAATAATTCATTCATCATCCATCATACTGGGAGTGAAGAAACCCCACAGCAGCCCCAGGGCTTACAAAGACACACTATGCTTGAAAATTTTAAGTTTGATTTGAATATTCATCAGTTCTGCAAACAGCTTTGGGTGGTTGATATGAAATACTTTTGGGAAACTGAAATGACCTGCGACGTGACCTTTATATAATCCATTTAAAATTACTTTAAGCATTTTGATGATTTGTGTTTTATGCATGCAGTTTTTATGATCTCATATTAAATGAGAAACTTTGGAATTGAATGTTCATTCTTTTAATTCATTGATTCATTCATTTAGCTAACAGACACAAGTGACTTACAAATAGGGCTTGGTAATTTTGCAAAAAAAAAAAATTTATAAAATAAAAATGTGATTTATTTGTGATTTATTTAATTAATTAGTTAGCTAGCTAGTAAGTCGTTAGTTAGTTTGTTAGTCTGTTTGATATTGCATATAGATATATATATATATATATATAGATATACTGATTTTAGCAAATGGCTGCAATATAACAAAGAGTGAAAAATTTAAGGGGGTCTGAATACTTTCCGTACCCACTGTATATATAGATATATAGTTGTATATATCTTGATATTTGCTCTGCAATGGCTTTAAAGGGTGATTTTTTTTAACCCTTGCCAATCGGGGGAACCAAAATATGATTAAGTACTATAAGTAAATTACAGTACAATCTAGTTAAAGTAATCATGGCATATTTTCATTTATGTGCATCAATACAGTAGTGAAGTCATTAAAAGCAATATTTAGTCACACATTCTTCACTAAAATATTTTATTCTTATTCTTTATATTAAATTAAAAGAGTTTTTCAAAATGTTTTTGAGTGACTTTCACTCAAGGAGCAGGTGCTAAACTTGCTTTTAGGCACTTTATTGTCTTTAAGAAAGTCTGTGGCAAAATAAGACATTTATACTTTTTATTCGGCAAGGATGCATTAGATTTGTCAAAAATGACAGTATAATGTTGTATAATGTTACAAAAGATTTCTATTTCAAATAAATGCTGCTCTTTTGAACTTTTTATTCATCAAAGAATCCTTGGAAAAAATGGTTTTCACTAAAATATGAAGCAGCACAACTGGTTTCAACATTGCAAATCATCTTATTAGTATGATTTCTGAAGGATCATGTGACACTGAAGACTGGAGTAATGATGCTGAAAATTCAGCTTTGACATCACAGAAATAAATTGTACTTATTTTAAATTGTTAAAACAATTTACATTTTTATAGAATTTCACAATATTACTGTTTTTAGTGTATTTTGCTCAAATAAAGGCAGCCTTGATGAGAACAAGGGACTTCTTTCAAATACATTTAAAAAAGTTAACACCCCAAACTTTTGAATAATAATGTTCATGTATTCTGCTCACAAACGAACAGTTTTGTCTCATACAATCTGCTTTCCCTGAAAATGTATGGGGTTTCTAGTGAATATGTGATAATATCAGCTATTGCAATCAACTGAACCTTGGCACTGGCACTTTTGGTTTGGGAGCGTGAATTTTGCGTGTGAGTGCGCTTGCAAGCAGGTGTTTTTTTTTTTTTTTTTTGCATTGGTGCATCCTGTGTAAAACCTGTGTTGACTGCACTAGTATGATACGGCTCGCCTCTAACCCAACTCCCACACACATCCTCACTGTCTCTCTCTGTCTTTACTCTCATAGCATGTACAAATCTCTCCACTCATCCCCACATCCTCCCTCCATTTCCTGCTTTAATCTGGTTTTGATGGAACAGCCGTTATGCTGTCATTAGCTGCTGAGAGGAGAACTAGGCCTAATATCAGTCATTTCAGCCTCGGCACAAGCCTCACAGGGCTCATGTTTACATCGAGACTGTGATGTTTCCTCTGCTGGTGCCACATACTCAGCATTTATTCGGCTAATCTTGACCATGTGTGCTTGTTTATTTCCATTAAGATAAGTAAGGCTTTCACTGGTGGTGTGCAAACATAATGAAGGGTGAAATCACACACAAATGTAATCAATATAGTATGCACATGAATGTCTTTTTTAGGGGACAATAGCTTTGAATACACACACACACACACACACACACACACATATATATATATATATATACACACACACACACACACACACACACACACACACACATATACCGTATAGACACCATGTGACAGCTTGTGCTCTTTTATTTTTATTTGTTGTGTGAAAAAAAGCAACTTTGACATTTTGATAATATGTTCTTTGATAATATATTCTTATGTTCCACTGGAAAAAGTCAAATGGTTTTGAGGTTCACTTGAGGGTGGTAAAATGATGACTAAATCTTTAGAGAAAAAACATTTTTAGACAAAAACTTTACAAACAAATGGTCGCAATTATCATTATTATTTATAATGATTTTTATTTTATTTAATTTTTTCTGGCATTTGGCAAAATCCACATTGCTCAATGGGCATGTGAAATATTGTAACATTAATCAGATTATCTATCAGCATATATTAAACACCGACATGTTAGCCAAAACTAATGTTTCTCTTAATTATCTGTTTAGTAATAAACTACTAAAACATATTTATGTACAATTTGACATATATGCAAATGTATCAATTACTTTACAATTACGAGGAGTTTAGTCATTTATATGATGTGTAAACAAAAGTCATTTTCTTTTTAAAATTAGAAACGTTTTTTATTCTTATTTTAATTTTTTTTGCACTTTTGCTCTTTATTTTGAAATGTGTCATTCAAGTACTGCTAATATTGTTGTATTCTTTGTGATAAATTGCCTGTTTTTCCTTATTTGTAAGCTTTGAATAAGCTTCTGGCAAATGATTGTTAGAGAATTTAATGCATATTACTGTTTAAAAGAGTCACCTTTGCATAGAATGTGTTTACTGTAGAATGTATGCATTAACTTGACTTTTAAAAGATAGCATTAAGTGTATTAAGTACAGAGGCCAGTCAAAATTATTAAAGATGTTCTTTTGCTCTGTTGCTAAAACTCATTTTTGTATGATGGTCCTTGCAGATAGACTTGGAGCCAGAGGGAAAGGTTTATGTCATTATCAACTTGTCTGGATCATCCAGTGAAGGTAAGACATCCTTGTAAACTTTCTGTGATTGCATTACATGTCATTTAAAGACTGCATGAATCATGTCCCTGTGTAACCATCATACCCAATATAAGATTTCTCAGAAATACAGATACTGCCTGATACAGTAAATACACGGTTAATGTTTCATATAAAAAAGTATAAGTGAAGAGTGGTGTCTCATTCTCAGAATTTGTGCTCTGTATTTAACCCATCCAAGCACACACACACATACACCCGGAGCAGTGGGCAGCCATATTTCTGTGGCACCCGGGGAGCAGTTGGGGGTTCAGTGCCTTGCTCAAGGGTCTCACCTCAGTCGTGGTATTGAGGGTGGAAGAGAGTGCTGGTTATACACTCCCCCCACCTACAATTCCCGTCGGACCTGAGACTCAAACCCGCAACCTTCAGGTTACAATTCCAACTCTCTAACCATTAGGCCATGACTGCCCACATATAAGTGTTCAGTGATGGCACTGAATGTGGCATTAGGCCTTCGAGATACATTTATTTAAAATAAAATGAACACAACGAACACTTAAAGCTGAAAATACCATAGTTCTGCTACCACAGGCCACTGCTTGAAATGCAGACAGACTTATCAAGTCTGTGCAGCTGCTCTTTCTGGAGGTCATATGAAGAGCTGCAACTTACTGATCTTGATGTTGCCTCCAGTGTGGCTGTAAATAGAAAAAAAAAACTCTTGGCCTAATTCCACCCAGATAACCCCCAGATGTGCCTCTTTCATTGACACTCCCTATGGCCCAACTCCCATCAGACCCCTGCCTTTCCTGGATGCACATCAGAGATGGCCCAGTTCAGGAGCTCCTTCATCCTCTCGGCTCCATTCCTGCTCCTGGAGGCAGAACATATGATCGCTTGTCTCTCATGCTGGTCTAGATGCTGCATGTCAAACAACTTGTTTCTACACAGACCTTGTGTCTACACCATCAGTGGTGGAATGGCGCCATTTGCAAAATTGTTAGCCAGGAATTTCTCAAGGAGTATTTCCTCAAAGTGGCAAGCAATGGTCATATACTGGGATGGCATATGTTGGGTTTTTTTCTGTGATCCCCGAGATGAGATGCCACCAAGCATCTTAGCTTAGCCTGAGGAGCTGTAATAATAAATCTGGAGAGAACTATTTGTGAGCATTCCCATTCAATGGCAGTAGAGTTAAGGCTGCACTGTGCCTGCTCAAAATTCAGTGTCAAGCCGCAAGGCCGCATTAAAGCCAGACTAAATTATGCCTGCTCAGACCCACGTCCCCAGCTAACAGCGAATGTTCTCACAACTTTCACCAACATTTTTTAAAAAGTTATATAAATGTTAGTACAAAACCTTCTTAAAGTAACATTCTTATAACTTTATAGTTATAACTTTGACGTTCTTATAACATTCATATTTGACATACTTTCTCATAATGCTGAGAGAAAACGTTCTGAACTCAACATTCTCTGAATCTTATTTGTACTTATTACACGGCTCTGTGGAATACTTGATTCTGATTGGTCAGTTGCGACATTCCTAGGTATGTTATCCCTCGATAACCAGTGTTGGGGGTAACTCATTACAAGTAATGCGAGTTACGTAATCAGATTACTTTTTTCAAGTAACTAGTAAAGTAACGTATTACTTTTTTAGTTTACAAGAAAATATCTGAGTTACTTTTTTAAAAAAGTAATGCCAGTTACTTAGTTTCCCATTTATTGACTGACAGCTCTCCTGTCCCCATATTGGGAGAAATCGGGAGTGCAGAGGCGTTGTGTGCGCTGTGTGAACATGATGTAGTTCTAGACTAAATGTGAATGTGCATTAATTCATCCCACTCACAAAAAACTGATTTAGTATTCATCCAAATGAATTAAAAATAACACAAATGCATCTAATCTTTATGAAGAGAGTGCATCTGCGCACCTTTCGGATAACGCATCAAGAACCGGGTTGACTGGGTACTCGCTACCACCGGTACTTAAAAAAACCTGGTACCATAACGTTTTCAATTTTTTAGGACCGACTTGGTAAATGAAAGAGAATACTGACATTTTGGTACCATGACAACACTAGTTTGATCTTTGGTTGACAGAAAGGAGTGTTTCATTCCCCCCCACATGTAGAGTTCGAATATTCAAGCTGTTTATTGATTTAATGATACACGAATTAACAACAAACTACTGAAGATGACAAATAGACGTGTGCGATGGCGAGTGCATTTGTGAGGGGGTTGAGGTATAGGCCTACACTGTTTGAAAGAGCCCAGAAAGATGAAACTTACTAGTGTGCATATGTTGAGTACCTGTGTCCATGCACACTATCAAATGGAGTCTACATTGAAAGGCTAAGTGTTCAGCTGTACGCATATGCTAAGCTGAAGTATACTTTGGCCTTTTGCCAACTAGCTTAGCATAGCACTAACTGATCAACTCAAGCTGTTTTGATTAGTTAGAACAAGATATTACAACAATGAGTTATATTTTTGATCAGGCATTCTACGAGGGCACAGGAGCTTGTACAACGAAAACATTGTGACTGATTACTCACACTATAATATAATTAACTGTATCTAATTTAGATTTATTTTATTTTTTTGGAAAATATATATTTTTTCTTCATTTGACTAATGCATATTTGTGAAGTTATTCCAAAAAGGGCTAACAGGCCCATGCTAACCAGCTAAACCAGCCTGCAACAAAAAGAAACTTACTCATAGCTGGTCATTTAAGAAGGATGAACAAACTTTTTTACATTTTGGTGGAACTCGTTGTTAAGCCAAAAGTATGCTTTGCATTTTATGTGTTTGAGTACAGTTAAATGCATTAGATTTATTAGAGCTAAATGCAAATGCAACTCTGCATTAGCTGCAACCTTTCAGGAACATGCAAGTCAAAAAGTTAGCATTGTGTTTGTGTCACATTCTAACTCTGTTTCAGACTAATTTAATTGGCCACATATTCATTTCACTTTCAGTACTAGGAAACAGTCTATGTGACTCATGTTTCATTGCATTTAATCAACGTTTGCATCAGGAAGTGAATACGTAACATTTCCTTTGCATGAACGTTGGATGACTCATCAAAGAGTGGCAGAGAAGATGTGTTTATCAGCAGTTGCAGAAATGTAGATCATTTTTCTTAGTGTCTGATCTGATATTATAGATATTGATGATGAACCACAACAAATATTGAAGAAGAGACACAAAACATTCAGTACATTTTCCCGTTTCATCTGAATGTCATGGTTAATGGGCCTTTGAAATTTGTTTTGCAGATGCCATTTTGTGGTTTATTTTCCAGTGCAGTTTGCAAGTGTAAATCTGATCTGTGCATGCTGGTTCTGCTGATCAGATGGACAGGTGGCTTTGGCTGATTTTGGTAGGTTGACCATACAAGCCCTTTTTCCTGGACACGTACTGGCCAGGATTTCTATATTGCCAGGTTTTGGCTTTGTTTTACTGTTTTCATACTTGCTGAATGTAATGATCGAAAAGCAGTTCAACCAATAACTTGCAGGCATTGTATATAATCAATCGATCGTGGTGCGTGAGAAGGTGGGATCTACAGAGAACGGTGCAAATACACACACGTATTAGGTGTGTTCGACTTGAAACAGAGCTGCACAGACCGATTGTTGTATGACATCAAAGTGCCATGAGAATATAGAAATCCTGGCCAGGACATGTCTGAGAAAAAGGACAGGTATGGTCATCCTAGATTTTGAGCTTTGAGTCTGATAGTTTGGATTGTTGGAAATTGATCCCAGGGCATCCGTCATGCTTAGCAGTATCGAAGTGAACAAAAGGTCACACTGTGGGTCCAGTGCCAGGGTCTTTACAGTGTGACAGTAGAGGAACCTGGCACTCTGGCACTAACTTCAGAAAATCTACAGGCTGTAGATTTCACAAAAAATTTGTGATGACTAACAATTAGTGGCACGGACGACTGCCGCATAAAACATAATAAAACAACAACATAAATAGTCCAGGCCTGGTCCTCTCTCGTCCTTCACTGTCGTCGCTCCTCCTTTTATCCTTCCGGAGCTCCTCCGTGGGACTCGAGACCGGTGAGTGTCACAGGTGTCGCTCATTATCATTTACTCCACCGGCCTCACTCCGTTCCCGCAGCTCTTGGTAAATGTAAGATATTTTGAGAAATGTCTGTGTGCTTTTTTTTTTTGCCCATATGATGGAAGTTAATGGTAACCAGGGTTGCTGTGTAATAAAACTAGCCCAAACTAGCCTCAAAACTTAAAATATCTCACTTCCATTCCTCAAATACATATTTTACAGTCACTGAAAAAAATCACTATAAAGTAATCATAAAGACTTTCATAAAGGAGCTCTCATAAAGGAGCTTTTGCAGGAGCTCTAAGACTATCTACTAGCGCCCCTCCCTCACAAAACTTAACGTCTAGCACAGTTTTATCATTGGTAGAATATTGATTATTTCAGTCCAAGCATTTGAGTCAAATGCCATTTATGCAATACATCAAACCATGGCAAAGGTTTAAGCGTAGCCAAATTCTGTGTGAAAACTGCTAGCTTGGCAAGCCTGATGGTAACCAAAACTGTTTTGTTACCAACATGCTTGTTATCAACATTCTGAATATCTTCTTTTGTGTTCTAATCAGCCAAGTTTAAAACTTATGTTTTGTTGCAATGATTGTATCTTACTTGAGTAGCTGCAAATGTGATATGGCCGTATGCCTCCATGACCACTGCTCAAAACCACCGATAGTGCTTTGAGTGAACATCCTGCACACTGTTATCTGTGTTTAGCGTCACATTTGTTCTAATCCTCAAACACAAAGTTGTAAACTCTCAGATGAAAGTTGTCATGCATTCTTCATGCTATGGACATTAATTCAGAATTCAGAATTAGCTTTATTCGCCAGGTGTGCACAAACACACAAGGAATTTGTTGTGTTTTTTAAGGTGCTCCTGGTACATAGTTAAATGTACATACATCCTGGTACATACATACTGTACATACACATCTGACATG